ATAACCTACTTATCTTAGCACTGCAGACTTGATTTTGTAGAAAGAAAACATAAACACTCATGTTACTTGCATGTCAATCACACAACTTGAAGGTGTTTTTTAGTCTTCCTAAATATTAACAACCACAGTGAGTTTCGCCTCCATAACTGAGGAGGTTCAACTACTTAACTTACCAAAAGAAATGTAATAAAGACAAGTTCAGTGAGTGTCTGTTGAGGATCATGAAAATTAACCTTTCTGAGTCCTTTTACCTAGTAAAAATGAATAAACTGAAAAATAAAATCACATTTCCTCCTCATCTAGGCTGTACCTCCTGCATTTATGATGAATACATCTAGGTGCAATCGCGTAATTTGAATATTTAGAAATAATTATATCAATTGTCAACAAGTTATTTGACTCATTGATTGTACACACAGTAGTACTGAGGCCTTCTGTAGAAGCAGACTGTAAATCAAATTATTTCCTTTGCTTTATCTGATGAGTAGGGGGTTTCTGTTTTGTTTTGGTTTTACTTCTGGTTTTAGGGATTTTTACTACATCCAGAATTGCCATATGATAAAGCTAGGACTGGTCTTCTGCCCCAGAAAGTCTCTTACTGGCCTCTGCCTTAGCCTTTGCACTCTTTTCATTAGTAACAGTCCATTAAATCTTCTGCTGTCCAAGTGAAGGAATAGTTTCTCTGGAGTGATAGCAGAGTAATAAGGAATTTACTATAATCCTTTCAGCAATGGGGGAGTTGCCAAAAAACCCCTAAACAAAAATTTAAAAAGAATTTCAGTAACATGAATTGTTGACACATATCTTAAAAAACAGAAACCCAGAGACACAGCAATTAAACTGAAATTTAAAAAAAAAAAATTAAAAAAAAAGATTCACGGTTTTGAGACTGAGAAATCCTGGTTAACTGTGAAACCAGCTAAAAAAGAGACAAATATAGCTGCAGAAAAGAAAGACTCTTTGATTCTCAGAAGCCGTAACTCTACTGTGAAGGCTCTGAATTGACTGATGCAGTGACGGGGCTCATTGCCATAGTCTCCAGTTTTGCTCCCTAAAATCCTATGTGCCATTTAAAGACTTCTAGCCAGCTGTCATTGTCAAACAATTCCCACAGAAAGCACAAAAACGCAAACAAAATCTGTTTTGACAAAGAGACCAGCAAAAAAATCTGAACTATTACAGTTCTGTTGTAGGCAAGCTTCCTGAGTTCACAGCCTTTCAAGGTGGCTCACAGAGGGGCAAACTGCTTCATTCTTCTTTGCAGGTGACTAAAAGCCTTGTGAGTATCAGTTAAAGCAAATTAGTTTCTCCTGCCAGCAGACACAGAGAAGCACACTTTGTGCCACTACCACTCAACAGTGCAGAGGATATATTTTTTGCTATGTTCATCACAGAGGTGCCAAGACCCCTTCAAGGACTGCAACTAAGAGAGCATGGAATGTAACCTAGAGCTCTGACAAAATGTCATTGTACTGATGGTGCTGAACTTGTGGCTTGTGAGCTTGATATGAGTCACCGTATCACTTACGATAGAATCATAGAATGGTTTGGGTTGGGAGGGACCTTAAAGATCATGCAGTTCCAATCGCCCTGCTGTGGGCAGGGACAGCTTCCACTAGACCAGGTTGCTCATAAGCCCCCATCCAACCTGGTCCTGAACACTTCCAGGGATAGGGCATCCACAACTTCTTTGGGCAATCTGCTCCAATGTCTAACTACTATCACAGTAAAAAGTTTCTTCGCAATATCTAATCTAAACCTGCCTTCTGTCAGTTTAAAGCCATTCCCCCTTGTCCTGTTGCTACATGCCCTTGTAAAAAGTCTCTCTCCAGCTCTCTTCTACGTCCCCTTTAGGTACTTGAAGGTGCTGTGAAGTCACACTGGAGCCTTCTGTTCTCCAGGCTGAAGAACCCAAGTTCTCTCAGCCTGTCTCCATACGAGAGCTGCTCCAGCCCTCTAATCATCTTTGTGTCCCTGAGGTTATTTTGGCCTATAACCTGCTCCTGATACCTTTCTTCATTCCTGAGAACCATGAAGACAGCCTCTGTTAGTGTCAGCAAGCTCCTATCCACCATCTTCCTAGGGCAATTCGGGAGCACTTCAGGACATGTGTGTACTTTTTGCAGTACATACTGCATGTGAATTAAGCCTGCTAGTCCTAGGACTCTGATCCTAGCATGCCTGCATGCAACAATTTTTCAGTCATCTCGAGCACGTTTCCTCCTTTGCCTTTGGAAAACATTCTATTTCTAGTCTGGCCAGAAAATCTGTGCATCAGTTTTCTACGCTGTCCCTCAGAATCAAAAAAGCAAAAGCTTAGGTGCTTGACTGTAGTGAATTTAAAATAAGACAACTCTAACAATCCCACATATGACAGAGAACTGTCTTAATGCAAGTATTAAAAAAATTATTAATATCTTCAGTCCTAACTCTTAGTTATGCACAGCAACCAGTAGACTGAGCTTATCTATCACCACTGGAAGAACCAGAGAGTCTTGATTCCAGCATTTTATTGATGGTAAATAGCAGCAAGTCACACTGATTATAAATGTAGTGTACTGCACCTTCCAGTGCACGTCTTAATATATAGCAGTGACCTCAGTTGTGTAATTTTGTCAGCCCTTGAGGTTAAAAGATAACCACTTGTGTCACAGATCTCAAGGTCCCCAATAAAACTGAAAAAGGAATGACCATATTCACATACCTTAAAATGTCCTTATTTACACACAATGAAAGAAATCTATAAGAAATACTCCTTTCTTCTTCCACCTTAAAATTCACTCAGTGCAAAGCAGAACCTCAAACTTAGGAAAGAAGCACACAGATTCCCCTATTACTTCTAGTTTATGCATACAAATCTTTTTCATCGGAAGTGGTCTTACAATCTACCTTTTATGACTATGACTCACCATTGCCCTATCTTCACCAGAGACAACGACAGCGAAGAATCTTAAGAGAACTTACAAAAATACTAAAATTCATATTTCAAATTTCCTTATTTTTCATAAAAATGTGCATATGAAAACTGCAATCATCAATTTGTAGGAATATATTTGTTCTAATTAGGTTTTCACTTGTAAAACTTTGGCTTGGCATCTTAGTTTGTTTTTTCTTATCATATAGCAACAATTCGGGGCGATTCCAAAGCTAGCCCTGAGAAAACTTAGATTTCCTGGCATGACTGCTGCTAGTGTGGCATATATTATTTTTGCCTGGACTTGATCCAAGGTATAGACATAGTGCCTTTCAGTTGTTATATCATAAGTGTCTTAAAACACAGCATCTGCTCAGTTAAGTACCCTTATTTCAACATTGGTTCTGCATGGAAACTCAAATGGGTCTGTAAATTGTCTAGGGCTTCGTGGTGTATGTTAAAAAATACAGGTATGGCACAGGCCACTAGATCTGTTATACAGTTTAACATACATATTCCTTTCCTTTTGCAACAGGTGGCCTGCACTTAGGCTGTCAAAAAATGCCGTGATGTTCAGGGAGAGAGCAGTTTGAAGAGCTTCCTAAAATTACATACAACATGTGCTAAAGGTCCTTCTAGCCCAGTCCCTGCCTCTGACAGTGGCCAAAAGAGGAGGCGCAGCAATAATTTGAGAACAGGCCATGCACACAGTGGTAATTTCCTGGATACCCCCCACTCTCCAACAGTGGGAGGCACAGGGCCCTCCTGAGCCAGCAAAGATTTCTCAGTGGATTTCCTGCTGGCACCAGCCCTGCTGTGTAACACCCACTCCTTCCCCAGCAGCTTCGACCCCGCAGCGGTGCCTGCTGGGTCACTTACAGCCGCAAAACCTCCTCAGGTCCCTGGTTTGGGGTCAAACCCTGGCCTTCCCAGTACAGCTGGTGTGGGCTGGGGGAAGGGGAAAAGGAGGTGCTGCTTAGTTACCATTACAGCCAGAGCGCAGGTAACAGACTAGAGGAGCAGCCTTCAAGTGCTGCAGCAACTGCTGTGGCAACCGCCAAAACTGCTGAGAGCCTTCCAGAACCTTCTGGCCACTAGAATCTTCCAACGGACGCTGGGCACCGGCAGTTTCAACAGCTGCTGCGAGTGACACTGGGTGCGAGTGACACAGCCCCATCGGCCGCTGCCCCCAGGATCCGGGGCTGTGCCCGCATGGCTGCACCTGCCCTGCCAGCCCAGCCAGCTGTGCCCCTGTGCCCACGGCCTCTGAAGGACAGGGCCCTTCACACCATCTCAGCCATGGCACCAACCCTTGCATCCCCGCACCTTTCGGCCCCTTTGGCCTCTGCAGGGCTGCAGCTGACAGGTCCCCACTGCTCAGGGGTGGCAGCTCTCCCTGTGACTCACCGGGCTCACACCTACACCTTTCCTGTGGGAAAGGGCCCTGAAGGCCCTCCCTGAGCCCACTGCGCTGCACAACTTCCCTGCAATTCCCTCATGGCCAGGGCACCTTGCCCCTCCTTCAAATGTCCTTATTCTCCAGCCAGGCCCTCGCTGGGTCCAGAGGGGAGAAATTACCAGGCTCAAACCTCCCTCCTGGCCTTTCCTCAGTGCTGTTTCCCCCCCACTGACAGGCAGTGCTCAGGAGTCAGAGGAAAAACAAACCCACCCCACTGTGGCACAGGTGAACACTGAGCCCTCCATCCTGGGCACACCTGGGCTGCCCCAGCCTATCCCAGACCCTTTGTGCTGAGGAAGAGCTCAAGGCCACAGGTGCTGCTCGCCTGAGTCCCAGCCATTTCTCCTCAGCTGACAGGCCCTGGGCCAGGAGTCACTCCCGTGGAAGGGCTACAATGCAGATGGCCAGGCACAGGGGCCTCCCCCAGGCATTGCCATGGGGCAACTCCACAACACACCAAGGATGTGAGGGAGTATGAGCGTGGCAGAGCACTGGTACAGGCTGCCCAGGGAGGTTGTGGAATCTTCCTCTCTGGAAACGTTCAAAACCCACCTGGATGTGTTCCTGTGTAACCTGCCCTAGATGACCCTGCCTTGGCAGGGGGGCTGGACTACATGATCTCCAGAGGTCCCTTCCAACCCTAACTACTCTGTGACCAGGGTCTGTGCTCTCTGCTGCTCCACCACACTGGGAACAGTGCCAGAAAGCATTTGAATAAGCAGCCAAATTAATCTGAAATACTTAATCAGGTATTCACAGAAGCACAGAATTATTTATGTTAATAGGGTCCTCTTGTGATCATCTTGTCCCACTCTGCTACAGCACAAGAACTCATGCAATGAGTGGTGGCCTGGCAGCAGGATGAGCTTTGAAACAGCCTGCAGTTTCAGAAGGGCTAGAAATACACAAGTGACTTTATTGTTCCCATCCTGTTAGTAGCTCCTCTTGGAAAATGGCTCAGAGTAAAGTCATTTTATTTTACTCTAATGAGTGAAATAAAACTAGAGAAATATAAAACAGAGATATAAAGTGGCTGGTGAGATGCATCATGTTCATAACCATGTGTAGCGAATGAATGTTTTAGGTTGCTTAAAGAATCACAGCAAAGATATCAGCAAAAGCAGGGTTAATATAAAAGTGAAAGCGCAACAAAGTTCACTGGCAAGGTTCACTCTACTGCTTACTAGATGGTTAAAGCGCACAGAGAAAAAGCAAACTAAAATCTGAAATCAATCAATCTAAAACCAAAATCAACCCAAAAATTATTTACATGGAGGCTGAGGGGAGTGTGGGAAGTGTAAGGATAGGAAAGGCAGGGTGTGGGGTGGGGGGAAGCGTATGGATAGGAAATGGTAAGGATAAAAAGGAATTAGGGAGACCCTCCCACTGAGTCACAAGGTTCAGAGTGGACTCCCTTGCCAAACTTAGGCCCTGACTTGACCAACAGTTTAGGCCTAAAGGTTCAACAGCACTTAACAGTATTTAATGAGTAGCTTAATTTAAACAATTTAGCAACAGAGTCATATAGAATTTACTATAACACAACAGTAACTCACTTATAAACCTTAGTTACAAATCTAATGTACTTAAGAATCTAAGAGAGCAACCTTCATAGTACATTTGCTACAGCATATTCACATTCGCATGCACACAGACCTAAAGAGTATGTACAAAGTACATACCTGTGAAAAATTCTCCTCAAATTCAGTGAAGGACTTGTGTAGGATAGCTTTGTATCAGCCCAGACTCTGTCCTCGGCGTTTGGTGGCGGTCCTTTGAATATTGCAAACTTGAGAGTCCACTAGGTCTGAGGATAGTCCCACTCAGAGAAAGATTGTTGGTTGCAACCTGCTGTGGTCCAGGAGAGCTCAGAGGATCTCACTAAGGACCACTGTATAGAATCACAAGAGAGTTGGCTTTAGTCATAGTAATTTTTCATCCTGGCCACAATTTGGGTCAGTAACTTTCTTGGGAAGTTTGATAACAAAAATGTTGTTCCACTTGGGTTGTTTTTCAGGCAAGAGAAGTTCCCAAGGCTGTTTGTTAAAAATCAGAAGCTCATTAGACAGCTTAAGTTCCTGGGAGTAGACAGCGTTTCTGATAAGCTCAAGAGGGGCTTAGCCCAGGTGCTGTTCGTTGAGGCTGAGGCCTCATGAGCATTTTTGAGATCACGGTGCAGCCGGAGGAGGAGGAAGAGGAGAGGGAATGCACTACCACACCATAACCACCTGGCACTCCAAGTTTTAAAGTGCTATCACCTTCACTGAATTTTCCCAGCAGGCATTAGGTTAAATTCAACATGAAACATGAATTTCCTGGGATTGTTCATTGTCAGCTGCCTCCTGCTAAGGATTTTTACATTTAATTAGAGGACATGTTTCATACCTGTCGTGCAAGGTGAACACCTGCTGCCTCTGGCTGCCCATACCTCTAAGGTTGCTGATGTTCAGTATTTGTTCTTTTTTTAGTGTCTAAAGCTACCTGAGAAATCAAGGCCACTTCCTCCCAGTCAGATAATAAAAAACATAGTCCTTGCCCCAGAGAGCTTATGAAGCAAAAACGTTAGCGAGAGAATAAAGAGGGTTTTTTCCCTGTTCCTGCTGACTGAGTTTGCTGAAATGATATCCTGCTGTGATACACACAGGAGGAGCAAGGAGCATAAAGCACATATGTGGCTCTAGCGCATATAAATGCTTTACTGTGGGCAACCCCAGGAGTGACCCTGACCTTCAGCACTGTCTCTGAGTACAACAGGATATTCACCATTAGCCACTTATGTGCTTATCAGCAAATAGAGGTGAGAAACAGAAGATGGAAAGGAAGGTAGGGCTGAAAGATGAGGTTGACAATTTTGCTCTTCCTTCTCATCTCTTCTTTGCCACCAAATATTTTGTGCAAGCTGAGAGATCATGAAAGTAAAGGAGGAGAAACACTCTGGCTGTGATCTGCCCACCTACAGCTTTCAAAGTATTTTAGGGAGGATGAGAGCTGTATTGAAGCCCAGTGCAGGAGAGAAGGATGCAGAGATGTTAACCCTAGCTAGTGACATCTAACTGGCTACCAAGAAGGCTGTGGGTGTGCAGATTATTTACAAGTGTGTGTGCAAGGAATATTATGTGTGGGGGAGGAATATTATGTGGGAAAAAATCATCTGTACATCCTAAAGAAACAGTCCTTTCACTGTACCAGAATTTCTGTTACCTCTCAGCTGCCACATATTCCTTTAAGTAAAAACCTAATACCTTCCTCTAGCGTTGCCTCTTCTTACATCCCAAAACACTGAATTTTGTCTTTTGGTGCTACTCAAAGCTCAGTTCAATCTTTCACATATCAGAAATGGAGTCACAGTAGGGAGCTGTATGAGGATTTTTGAAAACTATTTTGTTATAACCTCTGGAAACTTGGTGCAATGAACCTTCTCTCCTCACCCGCAGCACTTGGTACCTATCCCCTTGTAATCATTCATGGCCTTATGTCCTTGCCAAAAAAATTACTTTAAGAAGAAGGGAGAGGAAAGAAATGTCAGAGTTTTCTCTAGTGAATTCCTGTGACTACTCGTCTGGTAAGGAGGCTGCAAACTAGCAATTTGTGTTCCTTACCCGCTTACAGCTTAGAGAGGGGAGAGAAGGTTTTGATATCAACCCTGTATGTGTCTTTTCCACATTGATTTGGGAACCTGCTAATCAGTTAGGAAATAGTTCAGTGACACAGCATGTCACAGACACTGAGCAGATGTTAGAATTAATCTTGATTTTTTTTTCCCTCAACTATTTTCTCTAAACGCCTAGGGAAAAATTCTAATTTCAGTGGGTTCTGGACCAAGTCCTAGCATATCAAGCACTTGCTAATAATACACTATGTTTATTTATCTGTTTCAGATGCTGATCTGTGACATATAAAAATGCTATACTGCAGATTTTGAAAAGAGGTGGCCCCCTTCAGCTTGTGATAAATCCTGTTCGGAAGCAATGCATAGCCTCAAAGGAGGAAACTGAAGAATGGAAAAAGACAAGCATTCCTCCACAGCCCGTACAGCCCAAGAGATTAAGCCATGACCATCTGCAGCACCAGAACAGAGAACACCACACAGATATGTGGGCCTCCAAGGAGCCAGCCAAAATCTGCACAGGCCCCAGAAAAATATAGTACTCTAGTGTTTCATGTGAGCAACTACACCCTGCCAGCGCGCTGCAGAGCACAGTGCGGACACTGGAGTGCATCAGCTGTGTCGGATGTGAGCTCTGTGGGTGCAAGGTGCCCCGCACAGCTCGGCGGTGTGCCAGCACATCCTCCCGTACCTCTGCTCACAGGATTTTCCCACCACCCTGAGCGCCTGAGCTCCACATTCCAGCTACCCGCTGACAATGTCTCTGTTCTTGGGAAGCTGTAATTCGCGGCTCTTGCCAGCATGTGGCACAAGAGACGGAGCAGGCTGCCCGCACTGCCGAGACTAAAACCGACCGACTTTTTAAAACGTCTGGCCAGTCGCTGCCGAGTCTGTGCTCCGACGCCGTCAGCAGTGTATTCCATCAGGAGCAAAGGTTCTCCAGGTTTCTTATGGCACAGTAGTGATGTTTCTTTACACACACACACACACAACACGATTACATATGGATCAGACCGTGACTAGATAATAGAAAGCACAAGGAAAAAGGTACTGAAATGCCATCTCTTTTGCAAGCAAGAGAGTGAGAGGAACTCCTGCTCGTGTCAGTAATTATCAAAAGTCAGAATCTCATGCACAGAAATGGTGCCCTTCCAGCAATTAAACCGTGAACAGTTAGTGACATATTGAATAAGGGCTCTCAAATGTATAAATGCATTGATACAGCTGGGCATGCAAACTAGCAGGGCACTAAGCAAAGCAGATGCTGAAAAAGCTCTATTTAGTGAGCCAGAATTAACTTGATCTCATTGTTTTTATGCATCTTCCACAGATGAACAGATTGATTACACTCAAATACCTTCCTTTTTAAGTGATTCCACTTATTCCAGTTCTTTGCTGATGCCTGTTTCTCATCGATTTTACTTGGCTACAGTCACTAGGGAGCTAGATGCTTCATGGTCACCAGCTCTGTAATAAAGATGAGGGAATTATATCTCACACTGGCAGACTTTTATGGCCCTGAACTACTGCATTATAGGACATCACCAGATTTTCATACTTCTAAGTCCATCTTCATGTGCTTGGGCACAACAGTTCAGCATGACTCAGTAGCATACAAGAGCATGGACTGAGCTAAGGACTGTTGTTGTAACCTCTGTAACCTTGAATCACAGCACGGCTTTGCTCCATCTGCATGATATGATTTCTAATCTTAGGAACAAAGCCAGCCATGCAGAAGTCCTGAAGACAAAGAGCTGGATCAGCAGGGAATTGGGAAAATGGATGGAAGGGCAGATGAAGATGAACCAAATACTAATGCTAGCAGTTACAAGAGTTCTGAGAGGCTGCTGTACCTGCCCCCCCAGCTCTCATTATTTAATAGGTCTGGAAACCCCCACTGTTTCAATCTGCCATTCTGGATTATTTCTCACCAAACTACAGACAACTGCATTCACATGCCTGTGCTTAAACCTTTTATGTCTCACTGGCACCTGCATTCAGAGATATTTCAGCACTGAATTTACTCTTGCCTTAGTGTCTGTCTCCTAGAAAAGACAAGACCACAGCATATCAGGAGAGATGACAGTTATTATCAGCCTGTTGTATACAGTGCCAGGGCTGACATGAAGATTATTCTGGCCTTGGGGAGCAAAGGGAGGTGAGGTATTTTGAAAGAGAGCTACAAGAATGAAGATAAAAATCACATAAAGTTTTCCTATCTCCTTCTGGCTTTGTTCCTCTGTATTTCCACTCAGCTGAAATGTTGTAACTATATGCCAGGCTTGGCAAAACGACAGGAGCAAGAAGAAAGTAAGAATATGCTCAAGGAAAGAGACGTTCAAAACTCCCCTCTGAACTCGTAGAGCTGAGAGAAAGGCAACTGGCACCAGGGTAATGTTTCCTTGTAACACAATGCCATCTGCTGGGACTTGCTATAGCAGATGAGGCAGTGAAAATGAACTTGGGATAAACAAGTCCAATAAGGCTAGAAAACGCATGCTGCCATGTCAACACAGACTGATCACATTTGCAGTTAGCAACAAGGTATGGTTTAATAGAAGCAGTTTTTAGAGATTTTTCATTCCTTACTGCCTAATACATTGTCATGGAGTATGACAGTGTATATACATCCTACAGAATGTTCAGGCTGGCTATTGCTGCTGTAAGCTTTTCCCTCTAGAGTGAAAACCAAACATGTTGTGTCATAACAGAAAAATTGATACTTGCTGGGTTCACTGCTGTGTCACTTCTAAGTCATGTTGAGCAGTGCATTTGTCATTCGTGCAGTGGACAGACAGTGATAGGATAGATTTGTCCATGAAAGTGATGTTCTGACTAGCAAGTAGGATTTCCTACTGACTGTGATTCCCAAAGGTATGATGCTGGAGGCCTGTTTGTTTGTGACTTGTTTGCTGGTTGAGATCACTTGTATGATTGGAAGCGTAAGATGCTGGTGCCAGACCTGAGTTCAAATCCTATCCTAACATGTGACAGCCATGTACCATGAGACAGATGAGGAGCTAGCAACTTTCCCCCAACTGTTCCTGAAAGAGGTTTGTTCATATAGATTGTGTTTGGTAGCAACGAACTGGGAGGAAACTACCCCTAATGCAGGTGGTGGTGTATTTTTAGTTTTTTTTGTTGCTGAGGAGGGATGGTTTTAGGCAACCTCGATGCTTGGGGTTTTGTGAGTTTTCTAAGTGCCCAGCTGTTTCAGTTGGCTGAAATATGTTCTTTTTCCTATTTTGGAATATCCTTTCTCATTAGTGTACCTGATGAGATTTGTGGCCCTGAGTGGTGCTGAGTGCTTCAGACAATACCTGAATAGTCTAATATGCTCTGTAGAGGTTTCAGTCTCTTTCAAAAACAGGACTTTGAATCCTGTTCCTGCTATGTGTTGCCTACCATATTGCACTACATACTGCCTGTGAATATTACACGTGCTAGAAAAAAATTGTTTCATTCCTGTAATGGATGTGTTAATATTGACTGAGAATTTGACAGTTCTTTAAAAACAAGCTTGGGATGGCTGTGCATCTTTCTGTGTTTGAAATATCTTTGTGCTCTGCAAATCCCATGGGAAGCATACGCTCTACAGACTTCTCATGCTGAATGCTTCAGGTTGATTAGATTTGTTGCTTCAGGATGGATAATAGGTTGCTTGATGACAGCCCCTTTGAGCTTAAAATCATTAAGAAAGAAAATACTTCTTATAGCATCTTGTCTGGACCACCTACATTTCTGTGGCAAGTTACGTGTGTGTGTTGGAATTCCTCTGTCCTCACAAATGTTAAATTAAAAGACTTGAATTTATTTGTGGAGATCTGATGTTGAACAGGTCCAAAACGCTATTTAACCCATAAAAGCATTCATTGTAAGTATACTATTGAAGGCATAACTACATTTGATTAATGAGTGATGACTTAATGTACTTTGGTGAATTAAACTGAGAATTTTGCTCTGGAGCATTTATTCCCCAAGAACGCTGATAGCTGCCATAGAGTTTGCTCCTGCCTAGTCAACTATGTTTTGATTACACTAAGGCACAGACAGAGCAGTTTATTGGTCTGGAATATTTGTTTGGACCGTTTTTTGGTCACAGTGTATGGTGAATGTATACTCTGCTTAATTCTGTTTTGCGGTCATGCAAGGACAAAGATATTCGTAAATTACATTTAGTTGTCTTTCTTACAAGCTAACAGTCAATGTTAACATATGAATATGTGAGACTGCCTTCATTACAATTCTAATTTGTTTAAGATTTCCAAGGTGTTGGTAAGGTTTCTGAGTCATAGCAAAGAATTTTTAAACAATCTTCAAACAATTTTTTCCTTAAACAATGCTGTTTTGATCATATTGTCAAATATGGTGGATAACAGCAAAGAGGAGGGCCTTATATGCTGGTGTTTCCCTCCAGACAAATTTCTCCACTATATGGCAACATTATTATTTTCTTGAGGTCTTTACGAAAGGCACCTCTTCTCCACTTCATTTAGGCAGTACGAGCAAGTGGTGGAATAATATCCGCCAAAAGACAGAGATGGCAAAAATATGAATTCTCATACAAACTGTATACAGTCAGAAGTAATTGCAGCAGCTTGTAAGACTCCAGGCCCTGAGCTATGAACTCACTGAAGGGTTTTTACTTTAAAAATATAAAAGGCTCTGACAATATTCACCCTCCAGATTGTTAGAAGAGCCTTCAGTTGTTTTAACATCATAAAGAGAGCACAAAGGAGAAAAGCTGCATTTTTTTTCTCAGGAGGTACTTTTACTGGTAAGCTTTAGAAAATATGAGTACTTGGCAAAAGTTTAAAGGGTAATATTCAACCAAAATAAAGTATTCCACAAAGCACTGACTTAGCACATGCTAACCCATATAACTTAGTAAAATCCAACCCATCTGGTCTCAAGCTACCCAAAATATTAAGAAGGGAGATGAGGAGGAGGAGGAGAAGAAGAAGAAGTAGAGAAAGAGAGAGAAAAAGAGAATTATAGCTACCAACCTTTGAACCAGCATAGGTCCAGCCACAGGCATCCAGAAAATGGAGAGCTCTAACCAACCAATGGAGAGCACGTGTTGCTGCTTTTATGTGCTATGGCCCCTGTGGCCACAGTTCCCGCCCCCAGGCGGGATTTCCACCGTGCCATCCAATCTGGGGCTGGGTTAGGGGCTCCAGAGTGTGAATGAGGGAGTGCTCCTGGTGTCCTGGGTCTGAGAGCTGCTTTGGGGCTGCCCCAGTAGGCTCTCAGGGGCTTGGATATGGGGTAGGGCATTCCTCCATGAACTTTGACCTCTCCCTTTATCCCCATCCCCCCCACCCCGACTTGAGTTGGTCTGAGCCAATAATTAATATAATTACCCAGTGTCTCAGCTTAAAAGTAAGTCATACCCTGAGCCTTTCCTTACTGTCCCTCAACTATTTAAATCAGCGAGGATTAAGCTGAGCTGTTTGACATGCCCTGAAACACAGCCACTAGAGCACTGTTAAGGGGTGAAGGCACACCAGTTTTATAAACAATTTAATTTTTTGGTTTAAAGAACAGTTTGTTCCAGGAACATGATTTTCAAAATGCCTGGCCCCACTCTAAAAACACCTATGAAGTTTTCTTGGATTATAAATTCATGCTTTCTGTTGCCTCAGCTGCCTGAGTTTTGTTAGGGAGGAATAGCTTAGTCATTACTGCACATCTACAAACATCTCAAACTAGGTATTCTCCCTCCTCAGAGGTCTGACCTAGAAAGGACGCTCAGAGCACACTGTGCTTCGTGCAGAACAGAGCTCCCGCTGCTTCTGGTAACAACTGCTGGGAGGGTAATGCTGCCTCTTCCCTCACACTCTAATTCAAGACCCTGATGTCCAGAGCATAAGCAGCTGAGAAGATCTGGCTGTGGTTCTTGCCCTTGCCTGTGAGGATTCAGATCACAGCCCTTGCCTTCCAGCTATAGCTGGACTTCCAAGCTGATATATTATGAAGATAAATCAGCCTTGTGTTTGTCATTGTCCAAGAAGGTAAAGGAAGCAATCCTCAACAGCACAGAGACTTGACTTGCAATGAAAGCAAGAAGGTTCAGTATTTGTTCACCTGCAGCAGAAGCTTCATGTGGCATGGGACATGTGGTTAAGGGATTATGAGCAGCCTGTTGCATATGCTTTAGGGACTATCACTCCAGAGGTTCTAGCCGTGGTGATTCTACTGGGTATGAAACAAGCACACAACATGGTATCTTAGCTATAATGCACCTGCCTAGCTGGAAATTCTTCATGAGAACTTTTGGGGTCCTTGATATGATCCATTTGCCACCTTCTTAGTGACAGCCATACCTGATACCTGTCATTAGGAGATAGTTTTCAAAAAATGCCAACCTTCGATTGTGTGATACTTTAGGTATGATATGCAAATTGCTCAGATAAAGGGTAGGTAGCCTTACCTGCAGTTATCTATGACTCTTGGCATTTATTTCCTGCAGTTAACTGTTAAACAACAGCTGTCCCACTTTAATGAGTGTTAAAAAAAGTACAGCAGCTCATTATTTCTCTTTCCTAACAGGCCGATTTTAGAAGCCTTCGCTTAGCAGTTCTTGTGATTCATGCCAAATGGAACTCATTTCCATGACTATTAAGGATCATTTGCAGAGAGTTACACATAACACAGCACAGGTTTGCACTGAACCCTCTCTGAAAGCTCATTTTTCTGCTGGCTATGGTCTGTATCACAGCAGCACCGTGCCCATCTGTGGGTCTCCCTGCATCTATGTGAACAGAAGCACCGTATAAAACCAAAAAGGTTAAATGAAAAGATATACTGCCAATAGAAACCTTTTGTATCTTTTGAACAGCCTTCTTCTTTTTAATGTGTTAACTCCAACTCAAAATTGCGTAATGGTAGGAGCCTTTGTTTTACCTTTTCTAAGACATGCATGCATACATTCCAGTTGGAAAAGCCATTTCAGATGCTTGAGAAGGATGAAATGTGAGTCTGCTCAGTAAGTTGGAGAGAATTTTGCTCTGAAATTTAAAAATGGCACAATCTCACGTTTAGTTCTGCAAGTATGCTAACCCCTAGCTATTTTTAAGGCAGGACAATGCGTGTAAATGAAAGAAAAGCATTCAGGGTTTCTGGGCTTCCCTCTTAGGATAGCAGAGGGCATTCAGCTTAGTGTAGATTCTTGCATAGGGCAGTTCTGCCATTGAGACTTATCTTGTAACTGTCCCAAGACAGCTGCAGTGAATGCGACAGAAAGGTTGCATCTAATTAATAGCAATGTGTGTTGGTTTAAAAGTATACTGGTGGGAGAAATGAACCCATCTCAAGAGAGATTACAAGTCAGAGTTACAATTTACTAAAAATATTACCATAAATACAACGATACAGAGAAAAACTGATTTTAACCCCCAAAGACAGATGTATAACCCCACACCCTGGGAAAAGAATAGAACAGTGTTTGTCAACCCCTGTGCTGAGCACCACATGGCCCCCTTGGGTGCAAAGTAGAAGGAAAGGAAAACCTGTTGGTCTAGATGATGGTCGCAGTCCTGTTG